CTGCCAATCCCCCGCACGGGCAGCTTAGGCGGAGCCTGGTCCCGCCGGGCCGGGGAGAGCTCAGCCCCGGGAGCTACCGCGGGGACGGGACGGCCAAAAGGTCGAGAGAAAGCCTTGAAATCCTCATCGGGTAATCCAGCCAGAATCCATGCGTGGGTCTGCTCGAGGAGCTTTAATGCGCTGTGCTGACTCACAGTAACTGCAGCGTTGGAGCAGATTTGGGAAGAATCCTAATTCTGCAGTCAAAGCACCTCCGGGAGTTTTGCTGCTCCAGCACTGTGGCGTGTCGTGCTCCAGAATCTCTTGGTCTGTAGCTCCCAGGCTGAAACATCGCGGCGTGGGAGGTGGAAATTGAGTCTTGAGCACTGTGACATTGCTTGTCAGCAAAGCCCTTGTAGCTGCGGACAAAGGTTGCTGAAAGGCTCCGGAAACGACCGCGAGGCATGTCATGGGAGAGAGACAGAGAGGGAGGAAGTCCCGGTGACTTTGGAGTGCTTTAATTGCTCCAAATCACTAGGGCAAAGGTTTGAGGTACACTTTTCCACCGGCAGTGGAAGAGTTGCAGCTTTATGACACACCTGGCTTAATGCTTTGCTGTGCTCTTTGCTCCTGAAATAACCCCCCGGATTATAATTTAGTGCTGTGAAGATGAAGTGCCTGGTTCTCCACTGACCTTGGAATGTGAAGGGGGAGATGTGGCCATCAACCTGCTCTGCTAGGTGGAAATGTGTTCTATTTTCAGTCTGTTATCTGGCAGGTGCTAACCTCAATTACAGGTGCATGCAGCTGACCTTTCTTCATTACTTTAGGCTTTTAATGATAGCTCCTTACCAGTCTTCATGTGGGCAAAACTACCTGGCTCCATCAGTAATAATCCCTTTGCAAATGAGAAATAAAACCCTCTAGACCCTAAAGATCCCTCATGAGTGGTGCTGGCACTGCTGCAATAAGAAGCCTCTTTGCACCAGTTCCATGAAGTGTCCCATTTTCCCCCCACACTGACAGATTGTGCTGGTGAGACAGTGCAGGAGACACCAGAACCTTACTACATCACGGAGGCACCATCTGGAGACAGGCACCAACTGGGGTTTGGTTTGGAGAGAGGTCTCTGCTGTCTTCTGTTGTGTTGCATCATGCAGCACCCTCTTAGCAACCCATACAATATCTGAGGTTTGGGATTGTGCAAGATAGCTGCAGGGTAGGGCGCTTGAGCTCTCTGGCAGCTGGGAGGGTGCTGCAGGGCTCTGTGTTGAGCAGGGCAGGCTGATGGTAGGCCTGGCAGATGGGGAGCAGGAAAGAGGGAGAACATGGAACACAGCATTGCATGAGTAAGCACAGAACTGTTCAAATAAAAGCCACACAGGCCCTGGTGTCCTCTGGCTGCAGACTTGCTCCTGCAGATGTTGATAAATGCCAGCAGCTGCATGTTGTTGGGGGCTGTTCACTGACTTGTGACCCAGAGGGTTCCTTGGAGCATTGCTTGCCTGGCCATGTCTCCTTACCCAAAAGGTTCAGTTATCCTTGGAGTGTTGCTTGCCTGGCTATGTCTCCTTACCCAAAAGGTTCAGTTATTATTGCCATTGTGGTGGCTTTTATTGATATTTATGTGGGGATGACCTTAGCAGTACAAAGTGACCATTCATGTAGCCCAGCTCCTTTCAGCTCAGGAGATTTCTGAGCCAGTTTGTGTTTCTTTGTATTATAATTCCCAATTTACCTCTTATTCTTGTTGCTTGCCTGGCTATGTCTCCTTACCCAAAAGGTTCAGTTATTATTGCCATTGTGGTGGCTTTTATTGATATTTATGTGGGGATGACCTTAGCAGTACAAAGTGACCATTCATGTAGCCCAGCTCCTTTCAGCTCAGGAGATTTCTGAGCCAGTTTGTGTTTCTTTGTATTATAATTCCCAATTTACCTCTTATTCTTAGAGCTCACCCAGTTTCCTGTTGAGTTTATGAGAACTGCCTGCATTCCCAGTGTTCCTTGGCAGAGAGCTCCACAGGTCTGGTTCCCACTGCATGAACCCCTGGCAGAGAGTTCCACAGGTCTGGTTCCCACTGCATGAAAAAAAACATCTCTTTTGCTTTGTTTCCAGTCTGTTTGCAGATTTCACTTGGTGACCCCTAGCTCTAGATTGGAAGGGGCTGTGAGCAATCAGATTTTTGTCCACCTCTCCGGAGCATCCCTGCAGGCACAGCACAGTGTCAGTGAGCTGATGGTACACAGCCAGCCACAGGCAAAGCTGATGGGACTCAGTGCTGGCTGTAGTCCTGCTCGGAGCTACAGGCTGCACTATGGTGCTCCAGACAGTCACTCACCAACACTTGGGTGATTTGAAGCCTTGCTTGACAGGAACTGTGCAGAGAGCTCTTGGTTTGTACTGCTCAATACCCAGCAGGCTCCAAGGGCTGAAAATTCCCTATTCCTCTTCCTTCAGCCAGTCATTGTGCTGGGAGGTCTTGGGTCCCTGCTCAACAACTCTTCCGCACACGTATCTCTACATGCAGCCACTCCTCCAGTCACCCCCCAAAATATTAACAGTCTCCTTTCTCTGACAGCACGAAGATGGCTGTTCTCTCAAAGGAATATGGCTATGTCATGCTGACAGGGGCTGCCAGCTTCGTATTGGTCATGCACCTCGCGGTGAAGGTGGCCAAGGCCCGCAAGAAGTACAATGTGGAGGTGAGTGCTCGGGCCAAGGGGATGGGAGGGTCAGAGCCCATCTGCTGGGGATGTTGCAGACGAGCTAGGTGACACTTTGCTTCTTTGGGAGTGAATTGCTAATGTTTTCTGCCCCACCAGATGGATGCAGAGCTGCCATGGCTCTTCAAACAGCACGACAGAGCTTGGGATTTAGGACATCAGGTGTTTGTCCCCAAGCTGAGACAGCTGAAAACACATGGCTTTGAGCTTGGCAACACTGATGGGCAAGAAACCACACAGCCATTTCTCCCTTACAAGAGAAGCTGGTGCAGCATTGGGAGCAAAGGGATCGTAGTGAAATAGTAGTGACAGGAGGGTTTCTCAGACTCGGGGGGAGCACATGAGCTCTGTCACAAGAAGTCTTTCAAAGTGACCTTCCCTCAGCATCCATGAGGAGCCTTTGAGCTGGGCAGGGCTGTGGGCTGGGTGGGGACAGCCAGTCCTGCTGTGAGTCAGGGCAATGGCATGTAGAGGCTGCTGTGCCACTTGGCTCTGAGCACAAACACTGCTCCTTTGCTCCTTCACCACTGCATGCAAGGAAGTGGCAGGCAGGGATGGGCACAAGGGCAGCTCGGGGTTCCTGTTGGGGCGATCCCACTCCTGCTGCGTCAAGTCAGGATTGTAGCAAACATACCCCGTGTGTGTGGTGTACAGAGCTCTGGATTTGAGGCTTGGGGAAGCCCCTGCAGCCAGGCAGCAGCTCTGGCTATGGTGCACAGAGCTCTGGATTTGAAGCTTGGGGAAGCCCCTGCAGCCAGGCAGCAGCTCTGGCTGCTCAGCCCTGCAGCAGTGAAGAGGGCAATGACTTTGAACACAGCTTTTGTGGGCCATGGGGCAGAAGAGAGGCACTAAGCTGCTAGCACAAGTCAGTCTTGTAAGCACCCAGGCAGCCCTGGGCTCCCTGGAGAGAGGTGCTGCAGGGCATGCTCCTTGCTGCTGGAGAACAAGCTCCCAAGCCCAGGCTGTGCTTGCTCACGTTTTGCTGCTGGTTTATTTCTTTGGCAGTATCCAACCATGTACAGCACAGACCCTGAACACGGACGTATATTCAACTGCATCCAGCGTGCACACCAGAACACGTGAGTAACATGCAACTGCAGGCACTGAAACACACAGGACTATGGGGCAGGGCCACAGCTAGAGAGGTGCTGCTGCCACGTGCATCTGCTCAGACTCAGCACTTGAGGACAACACATGGCCATGGGGTTCCTTATCATGCCTTAAAACATGAGATGGGGCTGTGAAGCAGCCTCCTCTTCTCCAGTTCCCAGTAACTTGCTTCCATGGGTGGATATTAAGACACAAGAACTCTCATTTCCAGAAGAGCCTGTATGGGGGTTGCTGATCTGTTGTGCTGCCTGGCTCTCCCTGGGGAGAGGCCAAAGACCACCCAGCTCCTGTGGACCAGGCTGCAGCAGCCCAATAGAGGGGTGCTGGAGGCACAACTCCGGGGTTTGCTGGTGGGAAGTAGTGTTTAGCAGTGGCTTAGGGCACAAAGTGGAAAAGGGGGGTAGGTGGGCAGCCTTGGAGAGAGGCACAGACTGGGGGGGAGAAGTCCCTAAAAGTCTGTGCATGCTTAGGTCCCCTCTTTCCTTGGCCACAGCATTGAGCAGAGACTCATAACATGCCCAAAGAGCCCTTGGCAGGGGATGCTCACAGCTTCTACCCTGCTAGGGTGTCCTCTTTGCAAGCAGTTTGAGCACAAGCACAACCTCCTCACTTTTATTTTCAGACTGGAAGTTTATCCTGCCTTCCTGTTCTTTTTGGGCACCGGTGGAATCTACCACCCGGTAAGTGATGCTGAGGTGCAGATCTGCATGACACAACTCTGCTCCTGCTACCTGACTTAGGCAGGAGACCAGGCTAGTCCCTTCACTGGCCACAGCACAGCAGTGCCCCTCCTGAAAATGTAGTTGTGCAGGGGAATCACAAGTATTTAATAAACTCATTACTGCTGCTTCAGCTATTGGACCTTTTCCTTCTCCCAAGGGTGCCTTGTTAGACAAACCAAAGCATTCACAGCCTCCAGTGCATGAGTGGGAAGAGTCCCACCAGACCTGTTTTTTTCCAAGCCCTGCAAGGCTTACAGTAGTGCTACTCAGTGTGGAGGACAGGACCTCTATTTCCCCTCATCTAAACACACTTTCATGAGTTTATCTTACAAGAATAGATGAGGAACATGAGGACATTCCCACTAACTTGCACCACAAAAGGAGGTTAAAAAAAGCCTGGACTATTTTTAAGTGAAATGTGTGGAAGAGGCAGGCATGTGGGACAGGCCAAAACCTGTAGCTTTGTCTTTTCCACCAAAAGACAAATCAGGTCCTTCCTGAATACTCCTTTTCAGAGAGGGAAGGAAGCAGCATAGGCACATCTGGCAAGTAGGAGCCAGGCTGCAGCAAAACCTAAGTTGAGAGGTAAGGTGGAAGTTTGGAACAACTGCTGGAGGCAGAGGAGTGCCAGTTGGGGCAGCAGCTTCCTCCAAGATCTGGCCCTTGTTCTGGCTCATTAACTGGACAGTGCTGAACTGAGATTCAGCACTTGCTGCTTGCAGGACTTTGCTCAGTCTCCCAAATATTTAATGCTTCTTCTTTCTCTCCAGCGGGTTGCCACAGGGCTTGGCGTTGCCTGGATTCTTGGGAGAGTCCTTTATGCCTATGGCTACTACACAGGAGGTAGGTCCTTACCCTGCAGCACACAGCATGTGCTTGGAAACTCAAGTCTCCTTCAGTGACCTGGGGCTCTTTGCTCCAGCTTACATCACAGAGGCAGCATAAAGCTTGTAGCTGGGCGTGGAAGAAAGACGCAGGTTCACAGACTGCTAACACTGCAGCATGTTCTTCCTGCTGGTGGGAAGAACATAGCTGGGCGTGGAAGAAAGATGCAGGTTCACAGACTGCTAACACTTCGGCATGTTCTTCCTGCTGGTGGGAAGAACACCCATCCAGTAGGAATACTTACCCTATGAGGGCAGGTACATGGCCTGAGCTGGTCCTTGCCTTGGGATTTATCTCTAGTTCCTGCTCCCTCTTAAATTTCCAGGATGAGCTAGTCTTTCAGTGATGGGCTGCTGAACTGACCAAACCTGCCTTTTTTCCAGATCCCAAGAACCGAAGGAGAGGGGCCGTTGGCTCAGCTGCACTCATTGGGCTGGTGGGCACAGGAGTGTATTCAGCCTGCCAGCACCTGGGCTGGATCTGCCAACAGAATGGCTGTCTGAGGCACTAAAAGCAGCTTTATTCTGTTTTCTTTTAGAACACTTCGTTTCCTGTGGTTTTTTTTCTTTCTTTTCTCATTCAATAAAATGAAGTTGTCAATTCTGTATTTTCATTCCAGAGTTATGGAGGGTTTTCTTAAGAAGCACTGCAGAATGCTAGAATGATTCTGGTTTTCTAGGACTACAGAAATCTGTTTGTGTTCTTTCTGGCTGTTTTGATTTTAGTGACTGGAAACCCATACAGCAGCAGCCCTCTTTCCAGACCCCTCAATTCATGTCACTCTGCAATAAGATGTTCCAGAGTCAGTATTTATTTGATTGCTAGAAAAAGACATAGTAAAAGAATTAAAGTTGTTAGTTCATCGTGTTTATAAAGAATAGTAGGTCTGTAGGAAGGAAGTCAAATAGCTTTCACTATTCTATGCTGGAGCTTTTGGCTGTGGAGAGGATTCTCAGGGCCATGCCTGTCCCAGGCAGCATCAGCCAACCCTCCTCACAGTATTTTGTCCCACTTGTGGGGCACAGATACAAAAAAACATAACTTGTGTTTACAAGGGAGTTAGAGGGAATAAAACATCCTACCCTTAAGGCTTTTATGTAGTCAGAGAATAGACAGAGCCTATAGCTACAGGTTGTCAGTATGTCTAGGAGCTTATATGTGCATTGAGTAGGGCTCTGCCTGTTAAGACGCAAAAACTGAAGTTGATTAAGGCTGGAAGGCACACAGCACAGGAAGGAGCCTGGGTCAGACCTCACCACTGACAAGCCTCTGGTAACACCTCCATAGCTGCATGAGCTGCTGCCAAAAGCCGCATTGGTGCCCCCTACTCCACCAGACAGGACAGAGCAGGCCCGTGAGCTGAGCCCTGTGTGTACATTCCCATTCAGGGTGGCTAAATGCTGCTCCAGCACTGTTCCCCTCCCAGCACTTACTGTTTTAAAGTACTTTATTGCTGTCTACGTGATCCATATCTGTAGCTGACAGGCAGGACCTGGCTGATGCTCCCTTGAGCACAACCCAGAGCCACTAAAACACAGACTCCACATCACCCATCTCCACGCAGACAGTCTTCAGCTGTGAGTAGTACTCGATGGCTGCACGTCCGTTCTCCCTGCCAAATCCTGCAGGGAAGGGAAGAGCCATGAGTGAGAACACAGCTCCAGGCAGTGCCAGGTACAGCTCACACCCCCTGTAAGTGGAATGTACCAGGGAAGGTCAGACAGAGCTCACCTGATGACTTGTATCCTCCGAAGGGCAGCTCCACAGGGCTGACATTGTAGTTGTTGATGAAGCACATTCCAGCCTTCAGAGCAGCCACTACCCTGTGTGCCTTCTGGATATCCCTGCAGGAAAAGGGCAATTCAGCTGGATCCCTTCCTTCCCTGCCAGGTAACATCCCACTAGAGAAAGGCCATCAGGCTGTGGTGGTTTATGGAGCCCAACCTGCGCTATTCTGCCTCCTCCAAGGATGCAGCACCTCAATTCCCAAGGACACTCTGAACTGCATTTGAGTCACAAGGGCAGGACAAGGTCATCAGCAATGCAGACCAGGGCAAGTGGCCAACAGCAGCACAGCAGGCTTCTAGTGCATCCCAGAGATGCAGAAGGCAGGCAGCAGGCCAGCACAGGCTGGAAGGAGTCTGAAGCACAGCTGGGCCCACCCAACACTTTGGGAAAAACTAGGAGATGCACAGTCATTTACAAATTTCCATTTCGGAAATCCCTTGCTGCAGCTTTTCTGAAAGAGGACATCCATTCCCGTGCCAAGGCACTGCAAGAGGAGCATCAAGTTGCTGCAGTATTTCCCTTCTCCTCCCCTCCCCAGAACACTACCCACTCATACCTGGTGAAGACACCACCTGCCAGGCCGAATTTGGTGGCATTGGCTCTCTCCACAACCTCCTCCTCTGTGTCAAAGGGCAGGATGGACATAACAGGCCCAAAGATCTCTTCCTTCACACATGTCATGTCATCTTTGCAGTTCCCTGGGCGCATGGCAGAGAGCATGTGTTTCAGGAGACAGAGCCAGCAGCACAGCCTGAGCATTCAGCAACCCACAGTCTTTGAGACAGTGCTCAGCACTGCACAGCAGAGGAGCAAGTCCCATCCTGCATCTCAGGGCAGCAAAGGCACTAACTGCACAGTTCCTCTCAGTCCTTCCACCAGCACAGATTTCCCTGAACACATTACTTAGGAGCCTCAGCTCTCTCTTGTACACCCATCTGAGTGCCTGTCCGTGCTGTGGACATACACAGAGCCAAGTTATGTTGAATACAGTTTTCTCTAGAAGAAACTCAGCAGCACCCCCATAGAAAATCATGGTACCATGAACAGGAGAGATCATACCTAATACACAGGGTCGCATGTAGTAGCCATTCTTCAGCTTGGGGTCATCTGGCACATACAGGTCCCCACCACACAGCACCTCTGCCCCCTGGAAAAGAGCCAAGAGGAAGGTAGGCAGGCACATCCAGGAGCCTCCTGCTCAGCTGCTGCAGCTCTGACTGGCCCTTGTCTTGTTCCAACAGGCCCTACTTAAGTTTATCCCTATCCTTCTCATAAGCCTCTTCTATGTACTGAAATGCTGCAATCAGGTGCCCCTGGAATATTCTCTTCTCCAGACTGGAATCCACCTAGCAGTCCATCCATCAAATTCATACCTCTCATTTACAGAGAAAGATATTGTGGGGCACCGTGTCAAAGGAAGCCCAGAGAGATGACCGTATTTTCCTTTTTCCAGTCACCTGGGACTTCACCTGACTGCCATGACTTTTCAAATATCATAGAGAGTAGCTTGGCATCTACATCAGCCAATTCCTTCAGACCTCTGGGATGCATCTCATCAGATCCCATAGACACGTATGTATTTAGTGGCCCAAAACACCCACTGAGTAATTCAATCACAACACAAAAACCAACTGAACTGGGAAGGCACAAGGCAGGAAAGCAGCTGCCAGCCTGTCCACCTCACAAGAGAGAAAGACATTTCAGGGCAGACACAAGGCAACATGACACTCACCTGTTCCTTTGCCTGCTTGAGGAAGCCCTGGACACGATTCAGGTGGGGCCGGTTGATGAGGGCTCCCATCCGTGTGTCTTCCAGCAGTGGATCTCCAATTTTGATTTTCTGGGTGCGTTTCACCACCTCCTTTGTGAAGGCATCCAGTATCTTCCTCTCCACAAACACCCGTGTGCCGTTGCAGCACACCTGGGATACAGGACAGGCTGCTCAGAATAGGAAATGCAGTAATCCACAGTCCATCCCTGCTTGGATCCTACTACAGAGGCTCTTGGAAAAGCCACTCCATAGCTGCTACAATAGCTAACTTGTGGATGGGGACAAGGAACATGAGATTACCCTGCGGCCCATGACTGCACTGAACAGTCCTTGATGGACACTGTGGCACTGATGCCACCAGGTGGCAAAAACGCATCAGGTCACCAGTAGGAGAGACCTTGAGCTCACTTCTCAGTGCCTAGAAATTACCCCACTGAGCAAATTTGCCAGCAGGATTACACCAAACCTGCAGCACATGTGGATATCCCAAATTTGGGACGGACAGAGCCCCATAGGTCTATGGCTCAGCACACCAGACTGGAACCTTCTGCCCCTCCAGAGGACACCAGCACAGCTTCTCCTGGACTGGAGCACAGGGTGCAGGACCAGCTGTGCTGAGCCGGGTGCTGGGTGTCAGGAGGCTCCACATCTGGGAGGGACAGGACATTGGCTGAGGCACACTCTGCTGGGACACTCTGCCCTGGCTTCTGCAAGGGCATCCCTTCTGATCACACACACTGCACAGGGAAATGCATGGCAAGATGGGAGTTTCAGGGCATCCCTTACTCTGTGAGGCCACGAGCTGGATCCACTGCCCTATTCTCCAATCACCACACCTCACAGGCAAGAAACATTCCTGCCCCATGGACACTCACCTCGCCCTGTGTAAGGAAGTTGGCCATGAGGGCTCCATTCACAGCATTATCCAGGGAACAGTCTGAGAAGATGATAAGTGGGGATTTACCCCCCAGCTCCAGGGTGACTGGCTTGATCCCTTTAGCTGCCATCTCCATGATCTGAGGGAAACAAGGACAGAAGAGACAAGTGACCCACTGGCCAAGGGGAGGTAAGAGAGACCCAAAGGGACAGTTCCTGCAGGGCCCCTTACCAACAAGAGACGCAGCATGAAGGGTGAGCTGGGTTTCCTAGATGTGCTTAGTTCAGGCTGAGGACAGCCTCAGAGGGTTTGAGTTTTGCTCTTTTTTAGATATAAACCAGATAAAACCCGGGGAGGCATTTGCAGGAAGTCTCACACTCAGTGTGAGCTGAGGACAACTGTAGCTGCATTTGTCACTGCACCTCACAGGTACACACGTGCAGGGAGCATTCAGGGGGTAACATTTGCCCTCTTTCAAATCAGAATTTATTTCTGCACATCTTTCTAGGGACTTTCAATTGTTGATTAATAAATTGCAGGTGAGACATTCACAAAAACTAACCTCTTGCTTAAAACGGCAGGTTGTGTGCAGTTAAAGCAAATGCTCACACATTTTCCCAGTGCTGCTGTTTTATGTACCCTCCTCCCCACATTGACACATACTTATTTAAGCAGCTCAGAGACTTCACTGCAACCAGAGGCTGAACAAGTGAAGATGACCAAGGGGTTCCTCTCTCAAGCCCATACACTGCAGGCTAACTGGATCCCCACCTTGACTCTATCCATGCAAGCTCCTTGCTCAGGCCCCAAACAGCAATTCACACCCTATCTTTACATGCCTCATGCAGCAAAACTTAAGGAGGTATCACCACCCACAACACACCAGGCAGGTTGTCACCACAGACCCCCTGTGTCCTTGAGTGAGAAGGTGGCTTTACCTTCATGCCAGTTGGCACACTGCCAGTGAAGGAGATTTTGGCCACATCTGGGTGGTGACAGAGGAACTGGCCTGTGGCTGCCCCACCCTGCACCACGTTGAAGAGTCCCTTGGGCGCACCAGCCTCTGTGAAGATCTCTGCCAACCTCACCACAGAAATAGGGGTGAAGGGAGAAGGCTTGAAGACCATTGCGTTGCCTAAGGGAACCCAGACAGAGACAAGGTGGGGTTAGCACCCAAACTGCTTCAGGGAAAACCACAAAAAATTCCCACCCCACACAGTGTCTCGACAGATGCCAGGAGTTTCCCCCAAGAGAGGAGGAAACCCTTTCAGCTGATCACTGCAACCAGGGAAAGGGTATGGTTCCTGCTGGGAAAGACTGGGGAGATGGGGCTGCTGGCCCTGCCCTGCAGACATTTCCAGAGATGTTCCTGGTCTGGAGCAAAGCCAAGCTATCAGCGTTGTTCCTCTTGACATCTGACTGTGTTCCTGCTTCCATTTCCTTCCCCTTCCTGCCGGAGTTGCAGCCTGAAGGTTCTGCTAATCCTTCCACACCTTCTTCAAAGTAATCCTAGATTTTATCCCCCAAATCACTCTCCCCCACAGGATCATTTGGCTTCAAAGAGAAGCTTGTGTGGGCAGAAAGTCTCCATTACCGCAAGCCAAGGCCGGGCCAGACTTCCAGCAGGCAATCTGGAAAGGGTAATTCCAGGCTCCAATCCCAACACACACTCCGAGGGGCTCTCTCCGAGTGTACCCAAAGGATCCCCCAGGAAGCTGGATGTGTTCACCTGCAAAGAAACACCCAGAAGGTAGAAAAGAGCAAAGCCCCCTCCTGTCATGTGAGAGCCCCAGGGGCAGATCTGGTTTGCCTGGGAACAGACACACACAGCTTTGAGCCCAGCAAGCTCACAGAAGGTGTGTGAGTGCCCACAGAGCTTGGCAGCATTAGGCAGAGATCTCTGAAGATCCTGGAAGGATTCTCAGAAAAAACGAATAGTCCATCTCTTAGACAAATCAGCAGCAAAGATGGTCTTGTGCCATGGGAGTTGCCAGGGAATGCAGGACATGAGAGCAAAGAGCAAACTCCAGTAACGTCCTCACCAGCTAGAGATCCTGCCAGCCCTGCGTAATACTCCAGGCACTGCCAAGAGACATCAATGTCCACTCTGGCTTCAAAGATGGATTTCCCATTGTTGATGGTTTCCATGGTGGCAATTTCATCTCTCTGCTCCTGTGAGAGGCACAGGAAAGAGATAACATGTTAAAGAAGGCCATAGCAGAACTCTACAAGGACGTTGCTGCTTCCCAAGCATACAAAGACTATCAAACACAAACAAGACTCTGACACAAGAAACTCTTATCTCCAAACATCCCCAGTTGGTATTTAACAATTTCCCACTGGTGAGTGCAGGGCAATGCCAAACAGAAAGCTGCTGAGAATCACTGAGAGTCCAGTCTTGCTTAACATCCTTGTTTATCTAAAAGATGAACAAACATGAACTTAGAAGCCACTGGCAAACAATGATTAGAATTCATAGACCTAAACTGGGAAGAGCAAACAGCAAGTTCAGGATGGAACCAGAGGAGGGATGGACAAAGCAATACAGCTAGGAACAGACCAGCTGCCAGGCAGGAATATTATCCTGCTGTGGAAGTCTGGCAGGAGCAGAAACGTGGCAGAAAGAAAACAAATTTCTCATCACATACAAACATGGTGAAAAAACAAGTCTGGGTTCTTACAGATCTGTGCCTTTGTGGAGAATAACTCTGATGCCTACCAACATGTTATCTCACACAGGAGCTTGTGAGGCTAGCTCATGTACTTCCTCTCCCATGTGTATTATCTGCCAGATCAAAACCAGTATTCCTGCTTTCTCTTATTGCCAAGACACAGTCCACTCATGTGACAGCAGCTCCAGCAAGCCAAATGTTCAACAATGCGAGTTATGCAACTGGAGCTTTGAAACCATGTCCAGTCAAGCTTAATCTTTGGAATTATTAAAAGCACAAGCTCTGCAAGATGTCAACTGGGTGGCTTCAGTTTTATGTCTTGTAACAGAATTAAGGAGCAAAGGCCTTGAGCTCAGTGATAAGACAGGAGCTGCACACACTGGCACTAATCCAGTAACAAGAGTGAAGCCCTGTCCAAGGCAGCCTCCTGTCTCTTCTGGCCAAAGGAGGGTTTTAACCCCTGCACTCCTCCTGGAGCTCTGCAAGTCCTGCTGGAAGTCCCCAAAAGCCACAATAGCCCACAAAGAAGCTCAGAGGCAGAACCAGCCCTGTCCAAAAGCAGTGGGGTGCCCCCAGACGTACCCGAATGATCCTGGCGGCCTCCAGCATCACCCTGCATCGCTCCATGCCAGACATCTGGCTCCAGATCTTAAAGGCAGCCTTAGCACTCTGCACAGCCAGGTCAACCTCCTTCTCCCCAGAGCAGGGCAGCTTGCATAGCACACGACCTGGGCACATTTTAAACAGGGAATAAATAAGATGGAAACTGCAGGAAAGGGGCTCAGGATGTGGTTGATCTTGCACCAACCCCCACATACTTCAGCCTAGTCACCTATACCAGGTAGTGAACTACACCCCGTGGTTACCAGAGAAACCCATGGATTTGGAATTTGTTAGACAAGAGGTGCTACAATTCAGCCACTCCTAATTGAAAGAGCTGCCATTCTCCACAGTTGTGTTGTAGTTACTAATTAGCTCCAGTTGGTACAAAATTCCTCAGTTTCCCTGTGGAGTTTGGTCCACCTTTACCACCCTCTCCGGGACTTTGCTACGCATTCCTCAGCATGGTTAAACACTCAAAGTGATTCTAATGAGCCCTACGTACTAAGAACGGAATCGTTTTAGAGATATTTAAGTCATGGATTTTTTGCCAAGATCGGATGCTGTTTTTTTTCGAGTCAGAGCTGCTTTCTGCTGCAAAGCCTGACAATGGGCAAACACTGGAGGCAGGATGCAGCCACCAAAGCAAGCTCAGGACACCTGCACAGGTGGTACCCAGATGTGTAGGATATCTGCACAGGTGGTACCCAGGTGTGCAGGACACCTGCACAGGTGATACCCAGGTGGGCAGGACACCTGTACAAGTGGCACCCGGGAGAGCTGGGGAAGCCGAGGGCACCCACCCCTCGCACCACGGAGGCTGTGCCGTGCACAGCCCCCCGCAGGGTCCCCCGCAGCCGGCAGTACCTGTGGCCGGTTCATACACCTCCTCCACCTGTCCTCCATCCGCGGGCTGTACGCGGCCGCCCGCGCGGTAGTTGAGGGGCTGTTGGATGGTGACGGTGCCCGTGGCGCTGCTCATGGCGACGCTGGGAGCGACTGCGCAGAGCCGGGGAAGGAGGAGGGTCGGGAGCCGAGTCAGTGCCAGCATCGGGCAGGATTCCCGCGAATGGACACTGCGGGAGGCACCGCCTTCCCCCCCCGCGTGCCCACCCGCGTGGGGAGGGAGCTGCGGCTCTGCGCGGCGCTCCGGGTCCCCCTGTCGGCTCGGAGGATTCCACCACCCAATTAAGACACTAATTAATAAATCAATTAACATGCCCATGCCGTTTATTTCTCAGAAACAAAAGGTCGGGTTATCTTCTGAGAGAAGTTTCTTGGTTTGATGAGCGAACGACTGCTAGCAGAATACTCCGAATGGATGATGTTTTCCTAGGCTGGTTTTGGATAGGTGAATCCTGGTGAAGAATCCTGTCTTGCTGGCTCCTAAAGGCAGTCTTGTGCACTGGTCAGGCCTTCCCTGAAGGCTGTGCTTTAGGAGAACTTCCCTGCCTGAGGGGGGGGGCCAAGGAAGCCTCCTGCCTGCTTGGTGGCAGCTCGGGAAGGTGCAAGTCCAAGCATCTTTTGGATGTTCTGCAAAAACAGGAACAAAGAGCAGGATAGTGTCAGACCCTGACAAGGGAGACAAAGAGGAAGAAATCCCAACTCTACTTACAGAATCACAGAATAGTTAGGGCTGGAATGGACCTCCCGAGACTATCTAGTCCAAACCCCTGGCCAAGGCAGAGTCACCTAGAGAAGGTAACACAGGCACATGTGCAGGTGTGTTTTGAATGTCTCCAGAGAGGGAAAATCCATTCCCTTCCTGGGCAGCCTGTTCCAGTGCTTTGCCACCCTCAATGTAAAGAAGTTCTTCCTCATGTTGAGGTGGAACTTCTTGTGGTTTAGTTCATGGCCATTGTTCCTTGTTCTGTCACTGAGCATCACTGAAAAAAGTTTGGCACCGTCCTGACACCCCTTGGAGATATTTATATGCACTGAGATCCCATCTGAGTCTTCTCTTCTCTAGACTAAACAGGCTCCACAGACTCTCTTCTCAAGAGATGCTCCAGGTCCCTCATCATCTTTGTGGCCTCTGCTGGACCTTCTCCAGTAGTACAAGTAGAACCTCCCCACTAGTTTCAACAAATTCATCTTCTCACCCACATAGTCTTACCCATCTGGCTCCTATATATTGGACCTCTATGCCTATACGTTCAAACCAGCTTAGCACAGAGCCAGACAACCACCTACAACAGAGCCAGACAACAGCTACAGTCAGAGCTGGGGCACTCTGCCCCACCTCAACAACAGCTACAGTCAAGAGCTGGGGCACTCTGCCCCACCTCAACAAAAGCCTCTGACCATCAAATCCATACTTTGGTGGGGGTTCTTTTCCAGCTCCACAGCCCACAGTCAGATGGCAGGTACCTTGTTAATGTCTTTGCACATGAGTTGGCCTAAAATCAACCTACAATACTCTGCTATTTGACTGCAATACATACTCAGGAGTAGGTTCCCAACACCTGCTCAGGGGCAGAACCACACAGCCCTCGGTTTTCCCAAGTTCCAGAAAGCACTGTTGATGGTGTCCCTCGGAGCCAGAGGGTCTGCAAGCTGGCAAGGAAGGCTCTCTCCTAATGCAGCCGGAATTTGGGTCAGCAGCATGGCAACCAGAGTGTGTGCCAAGTCCAAGTCAGGAGCTTAGGCACAGAATTAGCATGAATGCTAGTGCTGCAGACAGAACAATGGAGTGGTGGAGACATGCAGGACAACAGGACATATGCAGCAAACCCCAAAACCTGACTATTGAGATGACCTCATCTGCATCCCAGCAGGGTGTTTCAGTGGAAAACAACAAACAGGGAAAGAATTAATTAGCAGAGCCAGGCATAAGCTGAAAACTCACATCAGAATATTTAAATTCCATGTTTTTCTTGATTTTTGTGAAATTTCTTTTAAATTTCACAAGTGTGACTAGAAAGCCACCAGTTCTTTGGGTTTCATCCTTCACTGTAAGGAACTCCAGCTCAAGATGCTGCTCCTGCAATGCTGGCAAAACAGGGACATGTGATGCAAGAAAAAGGAGCAAACAACTGTGTCCTCCTCGTGTCACCAGCTGAGTCCTGGTCATTGAGACAACAAAAGGAGGAAGGAGGATTCTCTTCAAACCTGAGTGTCCTCTCCAAAATAACTGTCAGGACAGACCAGACAGCGAGGTCATAGAGCTCTTGAACTTTTTTATCATGGAAGCAGAATAAACTAAAAAAAAAAAAAAGGCAGATAGTTTTGTAATTCCACAGTAGCTAAATTTAAATAAAACCAATCAGGAATCATTCCAGGTGGAGGCTATGGAAAGGAAGGTTTCAGCCCACGCACAAACATGACAGTAAAGGAGGGAAACCCTTGAGAAGGAATAACATCAGGTTTAGTCAATGGCATACAGAAAACAACCACTGGCTGGCATTCAGCAACTGAATAGATATGAGAGCATTTAACTCCTTCGTGTGGTTACTCTTCTCAGAGCTTCCTTAGTCAACGCATGGGCAGAAAAGGAGGAAACAAGAGCGGCCAAGGGACAGATCCAGCAACACCAGAGGGTGCCCCAGAGCCAGCAGCAGGCAGGACCAGGATTCTACCAGCTTCATGGAGCAGAGATCCTAGCAGAACATCCATGGAACCAAGGAAGCATGCACTGCATTCTCCCTGTTCCTGCAAGCATCGGGAGGAGAACTGTGGTGCTACAACTTACTCCATCTACTTGAACAGTTCCAAGAGGAAGGGAGATGATAGAGTATCTCTATGTGAATTCCAAACTACATCACTCTCCAGCATTATCCTTCCATGTAGGCCCCTCTGTGCTGTGGAAGGGAACTGGCATTATGCACTAGCTCCAAAGCAAGTTTTGCTGGACAGCAATCCTGACACTGCTGGAAATACCAGGGATGGGGCAAGGTCCAGCAGAATCCTTGTCCTGTCTCCTGTGGGCCACATTGCACAAGGAAGTTTGCAGAGTCTACTTCCAACACAAACACAGCCATCACCTTCAGGAGCAGGGAGGGAAGACTGTAAGATGTAAGGATCCAAAGAGCTCAGCTGAGGGATTCTGATCTTTCCTCAAATGACTGCAGGAAGCACAGGAGCTGCTTCTGCTTTTGTCTTCAAACCCAGACAGGGCCTCAGACAAGGCAGCAAGTGGCCCCTGCCCTAAGACCAGTCTCTGTGGGAAAGTGCACTCCTGGCAGCAGGTCTAATTGCTGGCTCCCATTCCCACTGGGAACACACTTCAGTGAGAAGCAGCCTAATCTGCAGTTCAGGCACGTGTGAAAAGGAAGTGAAGAGCAGCAAACGCCCGAGGAACAGCAGCATATCCCTCTTCCCAAAGAGCACAGGTGAAGGCTGGGAGCTCAGAACCAGGAGCAGGGACAAAGGATGTAACCCTGACATTATGCCTCCCGCCCAGCCCAGCAGCAGACTTTCCCAGCTGAAACCCAACAGCTCAAGGACCCTTGGAAGGCCTCTCCCAGCAACCCTCCTCTCTCCAAACAGGAAGGCAGGAGGAACTAGGGGACAGGATTTACGTGCCAGGGAGAGCTGGGAACAGCGCAAAGGAAGTTACTCACTGCGAGGTGACTATTTTGGGAGATGCTGGCCAGGTCACAGGCAGCAAAAGCCTCCCAGTCAGTGTTTGAAGAGTTTATCACCCCCACATGCCTGAGGGCCCCATGAAGAGACTGCCTGATGCTGCTCCTGCCTGCCCCATTAATGTCAGTTTAATCACCATCCAATTAAGTCTCACACCCTCATGTACTCCCCTGCACTTCCCACCAGGTCACAGGTTTTTCACACACATTCAAGAGTTCCTCTGCGCTCCACAGGAATGTCTCTTCCGTTTGCAGGCAGCTCCAGGATCTAAGGGGAGGCTGAGGGATGCATGGTCTCCTTAGTTTGTTCACAGCCTGTTCCCTGATTTTTGGTCTGCCTCCACTCCTCCTCCTGTGTCAGCAGCATCAAGCCAGACACAAACTCCCATGCCAGTTCTCCTCCCCTGGGCTAACAGCTGTTTTGAAGCCAGCCTGGCAAGATTTCCCCTTCTGTACACAGTGAAATATAAAGGATCACAAAGCTTTCACCTCCAAGGTCACTGCAAGCACTAAGTGCAAGTCTTTGGCACCATTTTAAACCCTTAATTACTTTCCTGCCCTCTCCCCTGGCCTCTCACAGCGCTTCAAAGTTCTCTTCCCAGTGCTAGGTTCTTTCAAACAGCAATAAAGCCAAGAGCAGGATGACAGCAATCACAGCTTCGGTTCCTACCTCTTGCACAGACTAAAGTGCCCCTGCCCTTCCCTCCAGGTAGCAAGGAGGAAGAAACGGAGCTGCCTGACAGCTGGAGAACTGCAGGAATCATTAACCACGATCACATAGATAAGGCAGCACTATGCAGGCTGCAGTCTAACACTTCAGGGCACACACACTCTTCTCCCTCGCAGTAAAGTAACTTCCCTCCTCCACAGGGCCATCAGCATGAACTCTCAAGCACAAAGGCAATTTTTTTCCCCCCCCAGAATTTCTCTTGGAAGCCCAACCCCACTGCAAACAGCTCAGCATTTCTGCCCAGAACCAGACTGGACCACCACCCAGTTCATACAGTCCACTGATTTCTCCATATGTAGTATCAGGGAATACCCAGGACTAGAACTACCCACAGGAATTATATTTTTGGGCAAAAAGAAAAATCCATGGGGGATTTTTCAGCAAGGGAGTTCCCCAATCAACCTGATGCGTGCAGAAAAATCTTGCTGGCAGTGCTATTTAGTTTCATATAATAATCTACAAGGTTGGAAAGAAAGGACATTCCATTAACAGGTAACATGGAGCAGCACCAGAGAAGGAATCAGACCACAGCATCCCAGGAATTCTAGCAGATGATCCTAAGAGCTAAAATGCCTCACTGCTTTCAAATGAGACATTTTTTTTCCAGTTACTGGGAAGTGAAAGAAAGTTTGTGCTGCAGCAGAGTGAGGAAGCCCCTGGCACTTGGTACTCTGAAGCTGGGCCTGCCTGGAGGGAGGGGTGGGCCAGAGGACCTCCAGGTGATCCTTGCAACATAAATTATTCTACAATTCATTATCTGCTTTTGCAGAGGACCAGATACAGATCTGTTTCAGCACAAGCACCCAACACAAAGGGCTACAGAGAATTCCATTCACTGCTATGCACTTTGTGACTGAAGGAGACTATAGAGTTGCTCCATGAAGCTCATCCCAACTTCTGACAGCAGCTGGCATTAACATCTCACTTCCCTTTGCTGACCTGCTATAAGTCTTTCTATGTCCCTTGGCATCCCCTAAGGAAAGGCAACAAGTGGGTCAAGGAGAAAAGGTGCAAGAATTCAGGAAATGAATCAAAGCAAAGGGAAATATACATGCAGCCGAGCAGGCAATTTGCAGATACTTGCACCAGCATTCCTTCAGCACTCAGTCTATTAATTCATCCCCAGAACTCTCCAGGGAAATTTGGGAAACAAGGTTCACTTAGAAGCTCTTGTCCTCACCAGCCATTCTGCTGTTTAAATTGCTTAATGAGCCTTCCTGAACAGGCACTTCCCTTATCCTCACTGATATCCTCACCCTCTTCCAAAAGATGAGACTAATGAGCTTTGCTGGAGAGCTCTGTGTAGCTTACTCTTGGCTTATCATACCCGACCCCCTCTCTGTGTCACGTCCCTAACACTGGGAGAGACTTGACACCAAAGGTAAAGTTCTTACTGCTCTGAAAAAAAAAAATCAGGCAGCCAGCAAAACAGGAAGGACAAACCCAAAAGAGCAGGTTTAACTCTTTCCTCACTTTTCCAGCAACCTTATGGATGAAATGTTTATAGAACTGCAAGACACCAAGGAAGGTTCCCCTAAAGATGCTACTGTTTGTAAAAATGGACATAACATTATAAGTTACTTCTGAAAAAAAAATCAGGCAGCCAGCAAAACAGGAAGGACAAACCCAAAAGAGCAGGTTTAACTCTTTCCTCACTTTTCCAGCAACCTTATGGATGAAATGTTTATAGAACTGCAAGACACCAAGGAAGGTTCCCCTAAAGATGCTACTGTTTGTAAAAATGGACATAACATTGTAAGTTACAATTACTAAGAAGCAGAATTTAGATTGGCTTCTGATGGAGACATCTCTTGATACGGCAACCCACAGAGTTACCACACAAGTCAGGAACCTGTTTCTGCCAACTGTCCTAGAGCTCTAGTGCAAGTCTCCAGCCAAGTCTTCCAGGCCAGTCCAGAGCAGTGACTGTTTCAATGTTCCCAACCTAGAATTTCTTTGAATATGAGGCACGGGAATGAAGGCAAACACAGAAACCACAAACAGACCAAGGATTACATGTGCAAAACTGGACAGTAGAAAAAGGCTCCTCTTCATAGCTGGAGATGTGCTTTCCCTGCTCCAGACACACAGCAATGTGCTCACCTGTCTGATGGACATTGTGCAGAGAATGTAGAGGAAGATGAAGGAGCAGTCGGTGTAATCCTCACCCAGCAGGTTGCGGTGGGAGAGACCCTGGATGTACGAGAGGGGGATAAAGGGAAGCTTCGCCACCACTCGGCCATCAAATCTGGAAAAGAGAGAGCACTGGATCACAACTGGAGACAGTAAAAGAGCCTTTGGATACAGAAGGAGCAAGTAAACACCTTTAACAAGGCACCAGAGCATATGAGGCCACATGGAAGGCTAAAAAGCCTTGCTGTCTTCTCCAGCCCATCCCTCCATGCACTACACCAAGGAGGCTAAACACACCTCTCTCACCAAGCCCTCCACATCCAATCACCCACAGGGTACGGAGGATTCCCTCAAAATCAATTTTGCCACAGTCAAAGTGTGTCACAGTGATTTAAGTGATCGATTGGACAAGCTGTTGGCTCATAAAATATTGGTTGGTGGTTTGCAGTTTTCTGGTGCATTTTATTTAAAAGTCATATTTAGCAGATCACTTCCCAGAACACAGTCAGCACTTCAGCAAAAGATGGATGACTATCACCCTGCTGTATTGCAGGTACTGCAAGAACACAGACCCTTTGCTTTAAGCAAAGGAGCATTTTCTAAGCAGAGCATAAATCAAAGACACCTTTTCCTTTCCTGGAGCATCTATGCTCCTCAGCACAAGGAGGATGCCATCAACAGAACACTTTTAATACCCACAGTGTCCCCTGCACTAGCTCTGAGCATGAAGGCAGTGCAGAGCCAGGATGATACCGCATATTCCGAGCGGCCTGTCCTGCTCCTGGAATTCCTCCAGGTCCACATTCCAGGGCATCAGGCAGAGTGTGAATTCTGGCCAGTTTGCAAAGATTTCTCCCAAGCCAGACAGTCGACCCAGCCTTTTGAAGTGAGTGTGTATGATGCCTCATCAGCGTGTGCATATTTGGATGTTATTTTCTCTGCATGTGCTGATTTTCGAACAGGTGTTTCTTGTTTCAAGAGATCCTAAATGAGCCTTCTTTCCTGTGGAGATGCATTCACACAGCCACGGCTCAAACACACGCCAACTTTGTTTACATCTCACAGGCAGTTTGGCAGAAGAGCCAGGAACGGATGTTTATCTCCCTGTAACATCCCCCAGTGGCTTAAAATT